GAAGGAAGGAAGGAAGGAAGGAAGGAAGGAAGGAAGGAAGGAAGGAAGGAAGGAAGGAAGGAAAGAAGGAAGGAAGGAAAGAAAGGGAGGGAGGAAGGGAAAGAAAGAGGGAAGGAGGAAGAAAAGTAGAAAAGAGGAAAGGAAGGAAGGAAAGGAGAGAAAGGGAAAAAGGAGGGAAGGAAAGTAGAAAAGAGGAAAGGAAGGAAAGTAGAAAGGAGGGAGGGAAAGAAAGTAGAATAGAGGAAAAGAATGAAGGAGAAAAGAAAGGAAGGAGGGAGAGGAGGAAACATTTATTAAGCATCTACAATGTGCTAGACACTGTGTTAAATGTTTTACAGATATTATCTCATTTGCAATTGCAAAAAACTGAGCAGAAGAAGTGATATAAAGGTTGTCATTCAAGAACTGTGCCTAGAAGAGAAGCAGGGTTAGTGAGAATGAGGTCGTGAAGAACCCATGTGCTCCCCGGTTATCCGAACAATATCAAGCGATCAGAGGAAGGTCCTAGCCTGTTGGTCAGCTCCCTCTTGGGGGGCTTATGAGGAAAAATATCATAAAACCAGAGATTTCAAGTTAAAAGAAACATTAGAAGTCATCAGCACCAACCCTTTCATTTTACAAATGGAGTGACAAAGACCCAGCGAGGTTAAATGAGAGTGAGCATCTGAGGCGCCAGCATTAAGAGGGATGGGGAAATGCTTCCCTTAAAAGGCGGCATTTGAGCTGGAACTTGAAGGAAGCCAGGGAAGCCACCGGGAGATGGAGACAGGAGGGAGAGCGTTTCAGCCTTCCTCAGGTAAGTGCGCTCCTTCCCGTGCTCCTCCAGATGTCGTACAGACTTGGTCCTGCAGCCTCTTTAGAAGAAAGATATTTTGGTCTTTATTTCACACAAGATAGCTTGAAACTGAGTACCAGGGGAGCAACAGGTTTTGCCTAAAGTGACACTGCCGGGGTAAGGGCCATGACTGACACCCAAGTCTGAGCTCTCAGGTTTAGGGCGAGCCTACACCTTCAGCGTATCACACTAGGTTTATACCCAACTCCTCCAGAGAAGTGCTGCAATAGCTGTCTCCAAAGTGCAGAAATTAGGGGAGGGCAGCAGAGGAGGGGAGGGCATACTTACCTGCCTGGATTTGGAGCCAAAGGACCTGAGTTCAAAGCCTGGCTCCAGGACTTCCTAGCTGTGTGGTCTTGGGCTAATTCCCTCATCTCTCTGAGTTGATTGTTTCATCTGTAAAAAGAGAGTAATAGATGTCCCCCTCCCCCCCCATTCTTTGGAGCTCAAATTTCCCTGGTCCTATGCCCAATAACTCCTGAAGGCTCTGGGCTGTTAGGAGAGTAGAAATGTGTAATGTAGTAGTAGGAGAGAGACCACACGTTGGACCCCTTCCTACTACTCCACTTCGGAGATCAGCCTGGTAGAGTGACTTAGGGAGCTGGTGCCTGCCTGAGGGCAGGGTATGTGTGGCAGGCTTCCAGCTCCTTCTCCCTTCCTCCAAGCCCCCCTGGTGGTTACACCTTGTCATTTTGGGACATCTCCTCCCCTTTTCTTCCCTTTCAAGCTCTAACTTGACGTTAATTTTCCAACATGATTTCACTTATATGAAAGTGTTGGGGGAAGGGTATGCTATGAGAAGGGAGAGTCTGACAAGGTAGCCTGGAGGGAAGCGAATTTTGGAGGCCGAGAACCTGGATTTGAAGCCCAACTCTGCTATTTACTACCCGTGGGACTTTGGCAGAGAGCCTTTCCCAGAGGTCCTCAGTGTCCTCTTCTGTAAAACGAAGGGAGTTGTGTCAGACTGTCTCCCAGAGTCGTCCCAGCTCTGTAGCCATGATCCTTCGATCATCGGGCTGGCCACGGTGCCCTTTGCGTCATTCAGTGCCTTCGGGTTGCCTTGGTCCCCTGCAGGCTGTGTGCCACATTCTTTCCCACCCAAAACCCACTGGGCGCCTTCCCGGGGTAGGCTGGGGAGATGGGGGCGGGGCCCAGGGAGCATCCTTTGCTGCTCTGCTTGAGAAGGTCGGAGGCGAGGGCAGTGGGCGAGAGGCTGCAGAAAATCATTCTGGGCCGCTCATTACATGACAAAGTGCAGCCTGCTTGGAAGGGGCGGGGAATGCGGGCGAGCCACTACCTCGTCCTCCCGTCCTGGAGCGGGGGGAGCTTGCCCTGGATCTGCCCAGGGTCCTGACAAGTCTGTAGGAAACCCCTGGGGAGTCTCCGAATAGGAAAGGTGGTGCGGAAGCTGCTCCCCCTCCCGGAGACTGCCATGCCCTCCCCACCTCCCCAGTGACGAGAGAGTGCCTCTCCTACGCCCTCACAGTCGCTGCAGCCCGAGGCAGGTACCCTGGCCTCCCGACCTCCACCTTCCGGACTTTCCCTTCCCAAGCGTCCGCCTCCTCTCCGCCTGCTCTCACGGCCCAGGACCAGAGTCTGACAGATCAGATCTTCATCTCCTTTCCCTGTATCTCGGGGGCTGGTAAGGAAGGACAGATTGCCCCTGGGGGACGGGAGAGAGCGCAACCGATGCTCTGGGCGGGATAGCCTCCGGAGTTAGGGCTGGGGCTTCGAACCGCTTATCTAGAAAGCAGGGGAAAGTGAACGTGATTCCTAAGGGTTAGGGGAGGGGGAAGGGATGAGGGCAGACCCGAATCCCTGGGGGGAAAGTCGAGACAATTGCGGACACACGGGACGTAATGAACGAGTGCATGTAAAGGATGGACAGATGTGTTAGAGGCGGGGGAGAGGGCTCAAGCCCAGGGGACTCCGGTCGTCCTCCCCTCCCCTGTCCCCCAAAAAATGGAAAAAAAATCAGTTCATGCATCTTCAGCTGGGCAGAGCTAGCTAAGACCTTTTTAGCCTGTCATTAAGCATTCCAAGAGATGCTGACCAGCACAACATCCAAAGCGTCTTCCATGCAGTTGGTGAGCCAGAGACAGAGTGCTAAAAGGCTGCTTAGCTGGGCTCCCTGCTCTGAGGAGAAAGAATCTTGCCTCAGCCTGTAGGTAGGACACTCGAACCTTTTACAAGAAAGATTTTCATCTTTGCCCTATTAGGTTTTAGAAGGCTTTTGGACCCTTGGGTAAAATTATGGCCTCCCAGACTGAGTTGGAAGGGACCTTAGAGATCATCTGGGGAGAACCCAAAGAGTGGCGGTAGACACGTGGACTTTGGAGTTAGAAGTTCTGGGTTCAAAACCCGGCTTTGCTACTTACTGCCTACCAGTCGCTTCCCTTCTGACCCGGGATTTTCTCATTCAAAAAATGACGGTGTGGGGCTTGCTTATTTCCAATATACCTTCTAGCTCTAAATCATTGATAATAATTTAGTATTTGTGATTGATTTTCCAATATGAAAGTTACAGTAAGAGCTATGAGTTAACAGGATCACTCCAACACCCCTAGGGAACAAACTTTGTCCTTTCCTCTTCATCATTTTCAGAAGAGGCAAAGCATAACCTATATAAATAATTATAATAATAGCCAGTATTTATATAATGCTTTAAGGTTTGCAAATTGATTTACAAACATCATCTCATCTTACCCTCCCAACAATCCTGTGAGGTGGGTACTATTATCGCTATTTTACAGATGAGGAAACTGAGGCAGACAGCGGTTAAGTGACTTACCTTGAGTCACAAGAGTTAATATATAAGATAGGATTGAACTCAGATAGTCCTGACTTCAGGTTCAGATGACACCTACCTGCCATCATAGCTCCCCAAACGTCAATTCAGTTAAAAAAAGATTCGATGTCTACCATGTCCTAGGCACTTTGGAAACAAAGACAAAATGTAAAAATCTCTTCCCCCGGGTAACTTACATTCTAATGGGTAAGAGTTTGACAGGGTACAAACCCTAGATAAAGAAATGGAATTAATGAGTGACTAGTCTCCATGTTACAGTCTATTATAGTAATATAGAATTGCTTGAGGTACACAGAGGTTTAAGTGACTTGCTTATGGTCACACGACTGAGTATTATTTCAACTCAGCTTCTCCTGAGTTTTAAATCACAGGTCCTTGATCTATTGAGCTACACAGCTATTTCTTTAAGGAATTTAGACAAAATATCCCTCTACAAAAATAACAGTAAGGTGAGCAATAGCTTTAGAAAATGAAATCTTCAAAGTAGTTTTGAGCTCTCCTATCTGACAGGACTTTGTCCTAAAATGCCTGATGATAACAGCATGGAGTGGTAGAAAAAATACTGGACCATGATACTCAGAAGAACTGGACCCTGATGCATCTTAGTTGTGTGAGGGTAAGCAAGTGCTGTAGGTCAGTTTCTCCTGTAAAATAAAAAGGGTTTGACTCCATGATCTCCTGACGACTCTTGGCATTCTTAGACTCTGGTTCTTGGTTTATTTCACCTGGTTTGAATAACTCCAGTCACCAAACACGACCTTGATGCTTTGATCTGAGGAGGGATGAGGGTGTCCTGGGGTATTTGTTTCTTAATGTGTGCAAGTTACTTTGACTTTCATTAGCTGATGTCTACATAAATAAAGATTGTCTTGATGTGGTTTTTTATCTCACAGTTTAAAAAAGGAAGATGTTTACTGTTCTTTCCCGTCAGCCCTGCGAACAATCAGGTTAGTATCTGGGAAAGAGAAGGAATGGCTTTGAGGCTTAGGGGAATGGGCTTTAGCTTAGGGCATAAACCTGAATGAAGAACAGGGAGAGGGGTTCTTAACTTTTTTGTGTCATGAACCCCTTTGGAGCCTATGGACCCCTTCTCAGAATCATGTTTTTAAATAATTGAAGGAAATGCTCAATTTCAGTGTGAGGTAAGTGAAAATCAAGACGCATTTTTTTTCCTACCTAAGTCCATGGACTCCTTGACTATCTGTGGACCCCAGATTAAGAAACTATGTTCTAGAATAAATTAACCAGTAAATCTGGGACACAGAAGCATTTTTATGGCATCTTGGAGAGAGTATAGGACTCAGAAACAGGAATATCTGGTTTTGAATCCAGGCTCCTGACACTTAAAAGCTGTCTGACCATGGACAAGCGGCTCAACCTCTCTTGCTTTGCTTTTCAGTAAAATGAGACTAATGATACCAGTAGTATTTACCTCATTTTGTTGTTATGAGCATCGCAGGATTGCAGATTGAAAAGGGAAAGGGTTCTTGGAGATCATCTAGTCAAATCGTCATCCCACTTTCAGATGAGCTAAACTGAAACTCAGAGAAGAGGCCTAAACCCAGGTCTTCTGGCTCCAAACCTTCTACTCTTCCCACCACACTAAGAGGCCTGCCTCCCTGTTTAGCATCAAATGAGATCATATCTGTAAGGTGCTTCATATACCTTAAATCATATACTGTAAAGTGGGGCTAACAGAACATTGCTCCCAGGGTTTTAGTGAAGCTCAGATGAGATCATTACATACTCCCATTTATGTAAGGTGTTTTACAAACTTTTGAGCACTTGATAAATCCCAGTTTTTCTTAATAGGTTATTTACATACTCCATGGGAAATAAATGTACACCGACACCCTTCACATGAAACACTTGTCGAGAGGTGCCAAGCTGGGCATGAGCAGAACCTCTGCCCAGCATTACTAGGTGGCTTTTTATTTTTACTTTTTTGCAGTTGGCGTTCCAGTATCATGGAAATCCCAAGCTCTGCCACAACCAGGTATGAAATATGTAATTAAAATATTTGGCTAAACCTCTGCATTATCTGCATAACCCGCAAGGCACCTTCCACATGGATATTGGGTTTTGGTGACATTTTATGACCCAGGGTAGAAAAAAACTTACTCTTCCTGCTATGGAAACTGCTGGAAAGAGGAATTTTTACAGGAAAGTTTGGCTGAATCATATAAAACTCAGTTTTGGGAAGGACCCTTGTGACCATAAATAAGATTCCCCTCCGCCACGTAGCTGACAAATTGCTTTGCTTGAGGACCTCCAGGAAGGTCTAGCTCCCAAGGCTTCTATTTAGCTTCTGGGCAGCTTTGATGGTTAGGAAGCTTTTTCTCACAAGGAGCCTAAATCTGCCTAAATCTGCCTCACTTAAAACCAATTCACTTGTAAGTCAAGACTGTCACCCTCCTGAAATCATTGATCCTCTGAGAAGGAACACAGTAAACAAACAAGCAAAGCGGATCTCTTCCCAAAGACAACCCTTCAAATACTGGACCATTGCTGTCATGTCTTTCCTAGACTAACAATCCCCAATTCCTTCACCACATCCCATCATGTTGCCTCATGGCTCTGTACTCATAGCCCTCCCCAAGAGGCCCGCCATTAGTCAGCTGGCAGAATCAGGGGTCTGGACGTTAATAGGATCAAGGTTTGTAATTGGAAGCTACCTTAGAGGCCATGGAGTCCAACTTCTTCATTTTGCACATAGGTAAACTGAGGCCCATAGGGTGAGTTGCCCAAGGACCTGGGATTCGAACCCAGGTCCTCTGACACCCAAACCAGCATTTTTTTCTACTGTGCTATGCTAGTTTCTTCCATCTTAGGCACCCCTTATAAACAGATTTTCTCCAGGACTTTTCTTCTTTGGTTTTGGTTTCCTTACCTAAGGAAGTGTTTTGTTTTTGTTTTGTTTTCATTTGTTTTTTATTTTTTTGTTTGTTTTGTTTTTGTTTTTCTTCTAGTAAATGAGTCTTCCAATTTGGGAGGATTTAGAGGAGAGCTTGCCCTCAGGGCTAGTTCATCCCTAGGACTGAACTATTTTCTGTTATCCTAAAAGACACTTGGAAATTAAATATGGTAGCTTCTCTTGAATTAATTTGCTTGAATTAAGAGGCAGTGGGAGTTAGATGAGCTCGTAGGCACATTGGAATATGGGAATCTAAGAAGCAGTGAAGTATCTTGGAAAGAACCCTGCTTTAGGCATCAAAAGACTTGGGTTCAAGTCCTGTCTCTGTCACCAATCATGTGACCCTACATATGTCATCTAACATTTCCTTATCAGTAAAATGAGGTGGTTATGAGAGATTCTTAATTTTTGTGTGTGTCATGGAACCCCTTGGAAGTCTGGTAAAGGCTAGATCCCCTTCTCATAAGAATGTTTTTAAGTGCATAAAAAATGCATAGGGCGGCAAAAGAAATTAATTCTATTGAAATAATTATCAAAATAGTGAAACCAAAGGCAAGAGTTGGTGTCAGCATCAAGCCCAATGCCTTGGACCGAGTAGGAGCTCAGGGAACATCTGTGAACCTCGGGTTATGGAGAGGTGGGGATGGGATAGGTGGACAGATGGCTGATGGAACAATGGCCCAGTACAAGGGGCTTATGAATGACCAAGAGGATGAGGAAGAAGTCTCTCCAGAGACTCCGTGCCTCTTGTTTAATAGCCATATTTTCAAGGAAGGTCCTGTGCACAGTGGGAGAAAGTACTGGCTTTGGAGTCAAAGGACCTGGGTTCAAAGAACAGCTCTGGTCTTTATTGTGTGACCTTGGGCAAGTCACCTGAAGTCCTGGGGCTCATTCCTCACCTTCAAAATGAGCAAGTTGGTCTAGCTGGCCTCCAAGGTCCCACCTTCTTCTCAATCTATGATAAAATGAAGAAAAATCACCCAACCTCACCATCACGACATAGCTCATCCATTCCTGGCTCATTGTCTAACTTCATCTTTCGTTCCCTTATTTTTCATGACTTTTATTGTCAAGGGGCCATGATATGAAGCCCATTTGCATTGAGCCAGAAGAAATAAGGCAAAGTTCAGTTCTTGATGGTTTGCTAGGGGAGATACAATGGATGATGCTACAGCCACATTTTTCGGTTGGCCTCATTATTACTTTCTGCTTATCCATTTCATGGAACTAAAGCTTCAGGGTGCCTTAGAGGTCACCTCGTTCAGCTCTTTGATTTACAGATGAAGAAACTGATGCCCAGAGAGGGAAGACATTTGCTTAAGGTCACTGACTTGATATCAGTCAATCCACAATCATTTATGAAGCACCTACTGTGTGCCAAGAATTGTTGACTATACTCACATCTCTTCCACACTCCACCATTTTGTCTGTTGGAAGGACCCTAACCTTGCCAAAATGCCCTGATCCCTTTACAATGAAGGTCAAGAAGAATAAGAGTAAGGAAAGATCAAGTTAAGCAAGGAGCCATAACCTATGTTATGACTTGGAGGCTGCCGGAAGTTTATCTTGTTCTTGTTAGAAAGGCCAGGCACCTTTCCTTTCCCCATCATGACTCCCATACTATCCAGTCCGTTCTTTATCTCAGCAGGCTGACAAACAAACACTGAGAAAACATGAGATGATCACTCTGGCGAAAACTGATAAAGGGTGATCGGACGACCTCTTCCTAAACTGAAGACTTTAATCAAGCTATAACTTATAGATGACTTTATGGAAATACTTTTTAGGTGGGCTGTTTCCTGACAATATCAGGCTGGAATTCTTCACTTCCACTGATAGTTTCACTGATGGCCATTATGTTCCTAGCCTGGAGCTGGGTACCCTACTTGGGATATTCAGAAGAAATTGAAGTCATGCCTCTTCACTTACGGCCTATATGACCTTGGGCAAGAAACTCCACCTCTTCCGGGCCTCAGTTTCCTCATTTGTAAAATGAAAGGGTCAGGCTGGATGACCTCTAAGGTCAACCACAGTCAGATACACAGTGCCAGGCATAACTCCAAGGCAGAATCCTGTCTTCTTCCTGTATGTGATAGCTTCTAAGTCATAAACTTCATGTATTTATTCTAATGATAACCTTCTGAAATTCCTATACCCTTTAAAGTTCACAGAATGTTTTATGAGCATCTCGTTTGAGGTTCACAACAATAATAAACCTGTAAAGCTACTGCTCCAAGTGCCGTCATCATCTCAGGAAAACGTAAGCTCCTTGAAGGCAGGAGATCGGGGGCCTTTTTGGCCTCTGCATCACCAGCACCTAGTACAGTACCTGGCACATGGGAGAAGCCTAATAGATGGTTGTTGAGTCTTACATTTTACGGAGAAGGAAACTGAGGCTCTGAGAGGAACAGTGATTTGCCTGTGGTCACCATAGAGCTAGTGAATGTCAGAGGTGGTAGTTGAACCCAGATCTCTCCTGCTTCCCATTACCACCACACCACACCGTCTCTTGCTAGAGCTTCAAAATACACTAGCTCTCTCAGCCTGTTTTCTTTCTTTTTTATTTATTGGGGTTAAATGACTTGCCCAGGGTCACACAGCTAGTAAGTGTCAAGTGTTTGGTCTGAGGTCACATTTGAACTCAGATCCTCCTGACTCCAGGGCTGGTACTCTATCCACTGCACCACCTAGCTGTCCCCCCACCCTGTTTTCTTTAGAGTCTCTAAGGAGGGAGACTGGAGAGGTAGCATGCTATAACATTAGGAGTTAGGAAGATATCAGTTCAAGTCTTGCCTCAGACACATGGGCTAGCTGTGTGACCCTGGGCAAGTCACTTACTTGGCCTTAGTTTCTCATCTATAATGAGGAGGTTGGACAAGATGACCTCGACTGTCCCGTCCACACAGCCTCCCAGTATTTCCGTATCCCCTGGTCCTGAATCCCATTTTCCTAGGACCCACTTCCCAAACTTTTCACCATCTCCGGCCCGTCTCTTCCCCTGCATACCTTCAATGTCCTTTGCATTGCACCAGCAGCAAACAGAGCCTAGGCTGACCAGGGCGAGCAGAGAGTCCAGGATTCAAGCTTACTTAGGCTTCAGGGGCCAGGGTGCACCTTCAGCGGGGCAGGCCCCAACTTGCCATAGAGGTAGGTCCTTCCTCTTACACGAAGTCACCACCTGGGAAAATTCCTGGCAGCTGAGCTTTGGATTTTGCTTCCCGCTGCCCGTCGTATCCCCCTGGGAAAGAGCAGGGGCTGGCTCAGAGATGGACGCCCCCGCTGCTGTGCCTTTGAGGGTGAAGCCAGGCTCCAGGCAAGCTTAGAAAACATCTCATCCAACCCCCTTACTTTCCAAAGGAAGAAACTGAGGCTGAGGGAGATGAGGTGACTTGCCCAAGGTCACAAGGATGATTGCAGCAGAATTCGAATTTGCACTCAGGTCTTCTAGGGCCAAATCTGGGGCTCCTTCCGCTAAGATTTTCCAGCTGTGCCTCTTCCAAGCACCGATGTCACTCGAGGGAAGAGCAGCAATGACAAAAACAATTTGTCTTACAGAGGAGTGCCCTGCTTCTGATGTGCGGGAGTGACTTTTACACTTAGTCTGCAAACCCAGGGGTTCCTGGAACAGGTGCTTTTGTTGTTACCTGGTAATGGGGGGTTCTGTGGGTGCAGTCAGAAGCGTGCTGGATTTGGAATCAGGTGGCCTGGGTGCAAAGCCTGGTTCTGACACTTACTGCCTATATGACTTTAGGTGAGACATTTCACCGTGCCTCAGTTTCTCCACCTCTATGTAGGCCAGGTTTCCAGCTCAGATTACACCTGCAGTGAGAGGAGTGGTAGGTGGGATTGCCTCTCTTCTACTCTAGCCTCGGCATGGCGCCTGGCACAGGTGCTCATTGTCCTCTTGCCCCTGCGTCCCTTCCCGTTCCAGATCTGGGGTCTGAGGATCACATTTGGTCCTCGGGACGAGTCTCTGAGCTAGGTACTGCAGTTACTATTAGCCCTGTCTCACACACGAAGAAACTGAGGCAGACAGAGGTGAAGTGATTTACTCAGGGTCACACAGCTAGTGAGTGTCTGTGACTAAGTGTCACACACTTGGGTCTTCTTGACCTCGAATCCAGTACTTTGAGATTTATGAGTTAATAATCAATGATGCAAATGAAGGAAAATTGGGATCGTTCCAAAGAGATGTGTTTAAGACCCTTCTCTCCAAGGGGAGAGATGCTAGAGAGGTTCTATGCAATAGGGAGAAAGAGATTCTGCTATAGAAATCCTCCCACCCCGCACTGGAGCTACACCAGCAGAGAAAGCACTGGACCTGGGACCAGGAAGTCCTGAGTTCAAATCCAGCCTCAGACACTTATTAGCTGTGTGACCTTCAGCATGTCACAACCTATCTGCCTCAGTTTCCTTGGCTGTAAATGAGGATAATAACAGCATCTACTTTGAAGGGTTGTGAGAATCAAAGGAGAAAATATTTATAAAGTACTTTGCAAACCTTAAAGTGCTATACAAATGTTGGGAGTTATTATTGTTGCTGTTAATTATTTAGGAAAAGCACTTTGTGTGGGTGGAAGGTGAAGGAGAGGTTATCTGATACGTGTGACTTAACAGGATAAGACGGTACTGAGAAGGCAGAGATCCAAAGAGGAGGGTTGGACGTACTCGGCTGCCAGGTTACAAGGTTGACTCCTTCGCCCAGGGTGGGGAATGGGGGAAATGTTAACACGATACAAAAAAGTCAAAATGAAGACTGGGAGGAAATTGACAATGTGGAAGCATTGGCCGAGCTTGTAACCTCAAGGTTGTAAGCACTGCCTTCCAACAACTGAGTAACTTAGCACTTAACAGTTCCTAAGGACAAGACATCATTAATGGGAACATTTTAAAATATTCCATCACCTAGCGCAGGGAGTGCCCTTTAGTCAGCTGGTAACACACAGTGAGTTTGGTTCAACTGGCTATATGAAGCACGTTACATTTTTAGAGCACTTTGTACTTTTCAAAGGATCTGGTAGGATCAAACTCTGCTGTCCTGGGTTCGAAATCCCAAAGTCTCTAGCTAGTGATCACTTTACTTCCCTGGGTCTCAATGTTCTCATCCGTAGAATGGCCATAAAATAACCAGTCCTTAGCTGGAGGGGAGTTGCATACTTGCCATGAAAGCAGCAGAGTCCTGGAGTGAGAGACAGAAAGAAAAGAGATGGATTCGAAACCAGAGGATTTGGATTCAGATCCTCCCTCTCTTCTTGATTACCTGGGAGCCCCTTCCCCATTCTAGGGCTCAGTTTCCTCCTTTGTGCATTGAAGGGAATAAATGAGTGGTTTCCATGTCCTTATAGCTCTTAATCTTTAGGTCAGTTCCCCAGAGGCACCCAAATCAAGAGGACAATGACCGTGGCTGCCTGGGTCCTTATATGTGTTGGGGGTGGTCTTTCCATTTTAGGCTTCAAGGCCCTGTCCCGGACCCCCGCTGTGGTCGCGTTGGTGGTTTTGCTCGTAAGCGTGGCTGTGCTGATGGCCATAACGCTCATTCAGATCAACCAGAAAGAGGTCCTGGGCCCAGGCCTGAAGGTAAGGTCTCTGACTGAGGGGATGTGAAGTGCGGAGGCCTTCAGAGACGGCGTGACATGGGTTCGGCCACATATGTTGTTTGAAAGCTCTGCGAGTAAAGAGAAGAGGTTCTGTGTCAAATCTGTTTAGTGGGAAGGAGGAAGGTACCATTCACAGTCTGAACAGGCTCTGTTGTGGTGGCTGAATCCACCTGGGTGATGGAGGGGGCAGCCACCCCCACACCCCAAGCTGTCTTACTGTGTCTATGGTTCAGAGTCGGAATTGGGAGATAACAGCCACTCAGGGCACAGTGCGGGCCCTGGAGGTGGTGGGGATGGGGGTGGACTGTGAAGAAAATGTTTTTGTCTTGTTTACAAATGCCCATTTTAAATCGCCTTTATTTGTTGATTTTTATTGATATCTTCTGTTGCCCACCAGTCATTTCTGAACATACCCCTTCTCCCCACCTTTGCTTTCCCTTATAACAAAGGAAAAAGAAATCCTGACACAACTGATAAGGCGTGCAACATTCCATACCACTAGCCCCCCACCTCTCCAGAAAAAGGAAGGACCAATGCACATAATTTTAATTCTGCTCCCTAGTTGCACATGGGCATTTAGGTTGAACATGTTCCCACGTAGGTACCGTGCCTCTAGTGAAGAGCTGTAAACCACAGGGAGAGTAACTTCAAAGGCAAGAGAGAGCCACAGTTTTCAAAGCTTATTGAAGGGGGAGAAATCCCTTGTGCAGGGGTCAGGGGAGCAGGAAAGAAGAGAATCACTCCTGAGATTTACCAGCTGGGGGAGCTTGGAATTACCTCTTAACGTCCTGAGCTCAGTTTTTTGTCTCCATAAAAAGCGGGGAGTGCCTCCCTCACAGGGTTGCTCAGTCAGTCAACAAACATTTCTTTTTCTTTTCTTTTCTTTTTTCTTTTTTTTTTTTGGTGAGGCAGTGGGGGTTAAGTGACTGGCCCAGGGTCGCACAGCTAGTAAACAACAAACGTTTCTTAAGCACTATCCAAATTCTCTCCTTCCCTCCCAGCCCCGGCTCCTTGATTAGGCAAGTAATTTGATACAGATTATACATGAGCAGTCCTATGTGCCAAGCACTGTGTTAAGGGCTGGGAGTACAAAGAAAGGTAAAAGATAGTTCCTGCCCTCAGGGAGTTTACAGTCTAATGGGAGTGGGTGGGGTAGAGAATGCTGCAGGCTTTGAAGAAATAATAATGCAATAGAATGTAAACTGCTGCCAGGCAGGAACAGTTTTGTCTCTGTATCCTCCACAGCCTAGCTGGCTGAACTGAATTTAGTGACCCTGAATTCCCCTTAGAGCTCTCATTCCTCCGTGAGGACTCAACCCCACTCTGTTATTTGTGGCCTTGTGAGCCTGCGGCTAGGCTGGAAGTAGCTGAGAAATCCACACCCTCCTTTGATCAAGCCTCTTCTACATTAAATTTGTCGGAGTTGAAAACAGAGCTGTGGGTAAAACGTCCCGTTTGCTGGCCATGGTGGCCGTCAGAGAAGTGACTACGAGATGGGCAGGAGGAGACACCCTCCAGACCCACCTCAGCGAGTATTTGTTGTCAAAATCAGATCATAGCTTTTGAGCTATAAAGGACCTTCACGGTCATCCAGCCCAGCCCTCCCATTTTACAGATGGGGAAACTGAGTCCCGGGAGTGGTGAAGTAGCTTATCCAAGACCACACAGGTACCGAGATCCAGGCAGAATGAGGATTCAAACCCAGGTCCTCTCATTCTACCACTCTCCCCTCTCTCCATTTAGTTTCTAGGTTCTACAGGGCGTGTCTAGTCCTGCTGGGTAAAGTCAGAACCCTGGCTCTATTGTCTTGTTTTCTTTGGGGCGATGTGAGGGTAGGACTGGTCTTTGAAATCAGTAGCTGAGCGTGGAAGCCGTCATACTTGGGCGCTGTAATCAGTGTTTAGGATTGTAATAGGCTTGCTTTACTTCATGGGTGTGGTGTGATTCGAAGAGCTCCAAAATGGGAGGGGGGGATCCTGGACTCCAGGTTTCCTGCCAACTTTCTGTTTGATCCTGGGAAAGTCACTTACCCTTTCTAGGTCTGCTCACTCCACTGTGAGATGAAGGTATTGGATTAGGTAATCTCTAAGGTCCCTTCCATCTTAAAAAAAAAAAAGTTCCATTAACAATTCCTGCTTAGATTAGATACAATTATAGTGTGGCATCTGTAGCTACATGCACGTCCGCCACACCTTTTACTGTTGTCTGTTGGCTTACTGCATAGGGTGCTGGCTTTCTTTCCCATGGCTGGTGAGACAAATGCTGAGTGGCTTCTCCAGGCAGTGTTAAAGCTGAAACTGGAGGGAACGAGACCAGGTTGGAGCCAGAGCCATAGGGGATCGGAAATGCCCTAACCTTGGGACTGGGCTTCCGAAATCCCCCTTTCCTTAATATGCAAGTTAGACTCTTCAGAAAGCCTCGTTGCCAAATACTTTTCCTCATATTAGCAGGACTCATCCTTTCATTCCTTTGTTTTGTAATCTGACCTGACCTGGATTTTATGTACATGGGGAAATTTAAAATGGAATTGCTTCTTTTTTAATATTTTATTTTTTTCCAATAATATATAACAATAATTTTAAACTTTTTTTTGAGTTCCAAATTCTCTCCTTCCCTCCCTTCTCTCCTCCCTCATTGAGAAGGCGAGCAATTTGATATAGATGGAATTGGTTCTTAGATATCACCACCTAATTAGTAAATGTGCCTTCAATGCCTATGGGATTCATACAGAACAGTGTCCATAGCAGAGATAGAGAGACAGCCAGATGACCAGGTGGGTAGAGCCCTGGGCCCGGAGTCGAGAAGACCAGAGTTCAGACTCTGACACTTCCTAGTCCCTTAACCACTACCTGCCCCAGTTTCCTCAACTATAAAATGGGGACAATAATAACACCTACCTTCCAGGGTTACTATGAGGATCAAATGAGATAATATTTGTATGTCTCCCCTGATAAAATGGAAGCTGCTTGAGATCAAGGATTATTTTGATTTTGTCTTTGTATCCGGGTGGCAGTCACATAAAAAGATACCTAATAAATGTTTATTAAACTGAGCTGAGCGATAGCTCTCAGAAGCCTGGGGGCAGGGGAGTCCATCAGTCTCTGATATTCCTTCTTTTTTCCTTAGTACGGCATAGTGCTTGATGCCGGATCGTCGAGGACCACTGTCTACGTGTACCAGTGGCCGGCGGAGAAAGAAAACAACACAGGCGTGGTTAATCAGACCTACAGGTGCAGTGTGAAAGGTAAGACCCTCCTCCAGCTGGCGGTCCAATAACAAGGCAGAGGGAGAGAGGGCTGAGTGCATCCCCTGTGGGAGAGTCTTTCCTTCAGTGATAAACAGGAGGAGAGAGAAAGAGAGACAGACAGACAGACAGAGATGGAGACAAAGACACAGAGACAGAGAGAGAGGCAGGGTGGTGGCCTGGAGAGGGCTCCACTGATAACTGAGTGACCTTGAGTAAGTCACTTTACCTGTGTCTGTATGAAGGGGGAGGCTGAGGGAGGTTATTTGCCCAGGGTCACATAGCTAGTGAAGGTATGAGGTGGGGATCTGAACCCAGTTCTTCCTGACTCCGAGTCCAGTGTGCACACCATTACACCACACTGCTTTTCAGGTCCCTCCCAGCTCTGCTAGTCCGTTCTCCAAGGTCCCTTCTAAGTCTGCAGTGCAATGACTCTTATCATTCTAGAGGTTCTCTGTCCCTGCTCCTGTCTAAGGGTAAGGTAATGGCTTCTCTGTGTGGTGTAGACACGTGAAGTTAACGCTCTCTGAACTTCTTGGAGAGGGGCAGTGTGAAAATACAGGGGACAGGAGGGTGTGGTTCCCCCTCAGCAGTTTTCAGGAGCACCATGGAAGAGAGGCCTCTGCAATTACTTGTGCTTTTAGGAGCCTTTGAAAATGAGATGTGTACTTTCTGAGTGGGAAAATGATATGTGTGTGGTTAAGTAGCCCTGTGAATAAGCTGCCGTGTGGGAGGAAACATTCCTACATTAGTCTTTCCTTTTAGGAGACCCAGATTTCATCCTTGTTGGCTCACCTTTGGGTGTCTGAAATTAGTCCAAGGCAATTAGACGTGTCAGGGAGCTTCTCTGAATGTCGAGCAGGCAGGTATCCATCTATCTGCACGAGCAAGTGACTCAGGCGAGAATAGTAAAGAGGGACCCATATTGAAGGTGTTAAGGCTTGCAAAATTCTTTACATACATTTTGCCATTGGACTCTCACAACGATCCTGTCAGATAAATGCTACAAGAACTACTGTACCCATTTTACAGATGAGGAAGCTGAAACTGAGATAGTTTAAGTGACTTGCCCAGAGCCAAAGAGCTAATAACTAAGATGGGATTTGAATTCAAGTACTTTCTACAGCTAAACAAAATAACAACAAAAATTTCCGGCAGGAACAAAAGGTCTAGAATCCTAGAGGAAATAATAAAAGGAAGGCATTAATGAAAGGGGACTGAAATCTCAAAGTATACTCTAAAGCAGTCATCATCAAAACTATTTGGAACTGATTGAAAAGTAGAAAAGTAGATCAGGGAAATAGACTATATAAAGATAGGCTAAAAAACAAGTGAATTCAATAATCCAGCGTCCAATAAACCCAAGGACATAAAGTACTGGAGGAAGGAGTCCCTATTTGACAAGACTTATTTGGAAAACTGAAAAGGCAATCTGGCAGAAATGAGGTTTAGACCAGCATCTTACACCACATGCCAAGCTCAGGTCCTTGTCACTCCAAGTCCAATGCTCTACCCTCTAGACCACAGTGCCTCCACTCTTTAGTGAATCTTTGAGACCTGTTTGTTTTGTTTTCTGGAGTGGTAGCAGCCATATTCTAACACTGATTTCATCCTTGGTCCCAGATGTCCCCCTAACTCTGGGCCCCCTCTCAACCTCCCAACCCAACCTCAGAACCAAGACAACCAGATGGTCCTCTGGACAAGGCAGTCCACCTTTCCCACTCCCCTTGTTTATGGGATGCCACACAGCCCAGATATCCACAGAGCCACACCATTAATGAGCTGCCCTATAAGTTAGTGAGAAATCAATCTACCAATACCCTTATGGAAGATTCTCTATTCCTATCATTAGACAAAAAGGGAAGAGTTAGAAAGACAAAAAGCAGAGCTTCACGTAATCATAGAATTTTAAAGGCTATTTAATCAATCAACAAATATTTATTAAGCCCCTACTCCATACCAAGCACACTGTGCTAGGTGATGGGAATACAAGTACAATGAATGAAATGATTCCTACTCACAAGGAACTTCCATTCTAATGGGGGAAACACCAGAGACTGATTAACTGTCTGTCTGTTTATCTATCTATCTGTCTATCTATCTATCTACACACATTTACATATGTATTTGTTTGTATACATATATAATCCATATAAAATATATATACACACAAATACACACATGCATATGTATATATACATACATATCTATTTATATTAATACATTTATATATTCTGTATATATTATATTCTGTATGAATACATATAAAGAACAAAAGTAAAATGAATAAATACAAGTAAATATCAAATGGAAGGGAAGGCTGTAGCAACTGAGGGGTTTAGGAAAGGCTTCATAGAACCAGCGGTGCCTGAGCTATGTCTTGAAAGAAGAGGACTCTGGGAGGCAGAGGTTAAGAAGGAGTGTGTTCCAGACCTGGGAAAAAGCAAGTGCAAAGGGCAGGAGACTGGAGCGTCCTGTGTGAGGAGCAGAGAACAGGCCAGTCTGGTGGATTGTTGAGGGCGGGACGGTGACTAGCGTCCGCTGAGCCTAGAAAGTTGACCTGAGTTCAAGCCCTACCTCTGATTCTGGTGGCATGCCCCTTCTCTGCCAGCATCTGTGAAATGTGGATAATAATACCAGCAGTATCTAACTTTCAGGGTTGTAGTGTAAAATGCAGTTTGCAAACCTTAAAGCGTTATCAGTGATTCTTACTTTAAAATCAGTCCTTAATTAATTTCAGACCAGGCTTTGCTCCCATGTTATTCCCTCTCTTGGGCTCTTGGGAGTTGCCTGACAGGGCAATTCAGTCTCTCATGGGACCTACCCACAAGAGCCTTTATCACAGGATACCACATTGTATCCCTTATTTTTCTCTCTGAATTCTATTCTTAAAACTTTTTAAAAAATAAATAATGAGACAATCTGTTGTTGCTAACTGATAAAGCTGAGAGCTGAATGAATTTATTAAACACTCATTAGATGCCAAGTATTGTTCTATGCTTGTCCTTCTAGGCTCTGGGATCTCCAGTTATGGAAATAACCCCCAAGCTGTTCCCAAAACTTTTGAGGACTGCATGCAAAGAGTAAAGGAGAAGATTCCAGCTGATCTACACAAAAGCACACTGGCTCATTTGGGAGCTACAGCAGGAATGAGGCTGCTAAGGTAGGTTCTTGGAAATACCACCTGATTTACAGAAATACTGAAGCATTCAGTGGTAAAATTCACCAAGATCATAGATCAGTCTCTAGACACCAGTCGGAAGAAAGGAAGTCCATTATTTGAAAGAAAACTAGATTTCTAAAGAGCTGGGGACTTTGGGGTGTCTTTCTTCTTGGCCCAGATGGCAGAATGAGGACCAGTGAGTGGGTGGATGATATAAAGGAATAGATTTCAGTGTGAGGTAAGGAAGAGTTTTCTGACAAGGAGAGCCATCCCAAAGGGGGATGTCCCACCTCAAGAGGTAGTGGGTTTCTCCATCACCAGAGGCTGGATCACCTCTTATCAATGATAATATAGAAGGAATTCCTGCTCAGTTCTTCTAATTTTGAGATTCTGTGGACTAGAGGTTCCCAAATGATTCTCTTTCTTTGACGATTTAATGGAAGGCAAATAATCATTGCATTGAAAAAAAGAAAAAGACAACAACAACAAATCTTGCTTATGGCATCTCCTTGTGGTTCCATAGAAAAACGTAGGCTTTGGAGTACATGGTCTTCAATTTAGCTTTCTCTGTAATTAGTTGTTCTTTGAACAATAAGGCTTCACTCATTTCAGTTACATATTTCTTTAACTACTTCTTATCTATCAAGCGTAATGAAAAATTGTCAAGTTGCAGGATCTATTTCCATGCAAAATCTTTTATTGGCTGCCATTTTCTCAAGATGGTAGACTGAATCTCAAATTGAACTGAAGGTAATATGTTCATACTTCTTAGTTTATACCACATTCCATCCAAATCAGGAGGGGCAACATGGTGGAGTAGAGAGATGGCCTCAGAGTGAGGAAGTCATGGGTTGATAGACAGAGGGCAGGGAAGGACCCAAGAGGCTATTCAGTGAAACTCCTCTGCCCCAGACTGCCTGTGTGACAGTGGGCAAGTCACCTCATTTCTTAGTGAAGTACAATCTCAAATGTGATAGTATTGGTAAAGCTCTTAGCACAGTGCCTGGTACATAGTAGGTGTTATTTAACTGTTGACTACTATTATTATTATTAATTCAGTGTTCTAGACAATTCTCTAAGAAGAGCTGGTGTTAGTCTGTGTTAGTAAGAGTAGTTTCCTCCTTGGTGTGGTACTCTACCCAAATGAAATCACAGGTCCAGTCCAAAGCAAACAAAAAAACAAATAAATCTACCAGCTCCTTTGGAAGTTATCGTGGACCAGATGGACAGATTTAAAACACTGGGTGGTTCAATTAAAGCAGAGACATCATTTCTTTAGGGTCAACTATATTTGGACACATGACTTGTGGCCCAATCCCACCGTCTTTGACTGTCCTTTGTAGTATTTCTCTACTGTATAATTCCCTTGAAATTGAAGATCTGGAGTGCGGGTGGGGACCATGTCCCTTCAAGTTCCTTGGTTTCAGAAACAAGAACTACTCCTTCCTTCAGTGGGGCGGGAAAGCGGGAAGAGGATCAGACCTGGAATCCCAAGTCCTTGGGTCACATCCAAAATCAGCCATGAGATTCTGTCCCTTGGACACGGCGCGAACGTCTCTGGGCCAACGTTTCTTCACCTGCAAAATGGGGGAACGGAACTAGTGGTCTCTGAAGTCTCCCCTGGCACCAAATCCATGAATTTATGAGCGTGTAGGTCTGCGGTGCTAAGATAAAAAGGCTCATTCTTCTCTGATGCCCTCTCACGTTCTAGATTCTCCGGAAAATCTAGGCTTTCCAGTGAGGGAGTCACTCTCCCAGCTTCATCAGGCATCCCTCCCTGCAGTTTTCTGCCTTTGTTTCTCTGCAGCTACCTTAGATGAGCAGCTGGAGTAGGGAGAGAATTCAAAGTCTCAGCTCTTTGCTTGAGGAACCCCAGATGCAATTCAATGTCAGACTGGATTTGCTTTAACCCAAACGACATGGACATTTTTTACTCCATAATTTCCCCCAGTATGATGGCTCCAAAGAGACATTGTGGTAGTGTGGATAGGAATCTGTTCTTGAAGCCAAGAAGACCTGGGTTCAAGTTCCAGGCCTGATACACACACTGGCTGTGTGACCCTAGCCAAGTCATTTGTCTCCAGGCAGAGGTGTCAAACCAGATTAGCATATAAATGGGAAATGTTTACAACAGATTAAATAAAATGCAGTACAACATAGATAATGTTAGTGTGTGGTTTTCTGAGTCAACATGAAGCCCTCATTTTTACTTCAGTTTGTCACCACTGGTCTAGAGAAATCTCTAAGCCTGTGAGTTCCAGAGAAGATGCTGACATGCCCAGAGTAATAACACCTTTCCCTGTCCCAGAGCTTCCTCGATTAATGACGTCACCTGTCCACTCTCTAGCCCTACCCTATGATTGCTCCAAAAAATCCCCTTGGCTTCCCCCCTTTCCCCTCCAGTAAGAAACTGTTGATGTTACTCACAGAAGCAAACACCTAAGAGGGTTTACTATTTGGGAAAAGGCTCACTTCAGAAAATTAAATATGAATTATTTTATAACAATTTTTTTTCCTATGAGGCATCAGAATTTAATTTGTTTCTAAGGGGAAGAGGAAATAATTATAAAATGCTTTAATGAGGGGGTCCCAGCAAAATCACAGGCAGAAAATAAGATGAAACTGGATGTTTGGTTATGATGGGAACTGGGAAGATAGTGATTTGGGTGTTTTTAAAATTGGTGGTAGCAGGACATTCTCAGAGGAAAGCCAGCATGCCCCTAGCAGAATGGCCTTTCCTCCTCCGCCTCACCCATTCAGTCAGCAAGCATTGACCCAGGGTAGGAAGCAGGACCAAATCAAAGGGGACCATAAGGGAGGGGGTGACTGATCAGACGGGCACTTGAGAAAATCACTTTAGCAGCTGAGTGGAGGATGGACTGGAGTGGGGAGGGACTGGAAGTATCAGCAGCTACTGCAATGCTCAGGCCTGCAGGGGCAAGTTGGGTGGTGGTGTGGGGATTGCAGTGGTGGGGAGAGAAGGGGGCGCTTTCCAGAGATGTTATGAAGGCAGAAATAATAGGGTTTGACAATGCCAGTACAATGGCACTGCCTTTGGCCTGGTGGAAAGGGTAATGGGTGCCTTTGAGTCAGAGGAGCTGGGTTCAAATACTGACAAGGCACTTAAACTCTGTGGACCTCAGTTTCCTCTTCTGTAAGATGAGGGGGTGGGGCTAGACGACCTCTGATCTCCCTTCCTGCTCTAAATCTAGATCAACCTGTGAATATACCTCTCCAGGCCTCAGTTTCCGAATCTGTAAAATTAGGGGCTCGGAGTAGGTCCCTTCTAGATCTGTCTGTGACCCCAGATGCTAAAAGGACTTCTTTGTTAACAAGGAGGATGCTGCCCCCCCCAGAGGATGCAACAGGAAGAACAGAGAAAAGAGCCCCCTTCCGTTTACCTGCCCCCACACAGGCAGGCAAAAGGCTTTACCCCTGAATGGAAAGGCTTTGAGGCCATGGCTGCACCCTGGAGTCCCTGCCTCCCCAGTTCTTTTATAGGCGGCAAGGCTTTCTCTGGATAGAGTCCTGGACTGGAGTCAGGAAGACCCGAGTTCAAATTTTGCTTCAGACTCTTAGACATTCTGCCCTTCTCAACCTCAGTTTCCTTTTCTGTAAAATGGGGATAATCATAGCATCTGCCTCACAAGATTATTGTGAGAATCAAGCGAGATTACATATATACACATACATGCACACATTGTATACACACATACACATGTATACATTGTATACACCTATATCCACCTATACCTACATATTCACATGCATATCTGTGTTTATAATATACGTATCTATGATGCGAGCACACATTTCTACACATACATATATCTACATATACATATACATCTTTATACACAAATACCTATCTATATCTATACGTGCACATACAGACATAAGTACACATATCTCTATATCCACACATTTATGTATACACATGCCTACATATACATACAGACACACATCTATATATATCCATATGCACACATCCCTATCTATATATAATCATCATATGACCCTTAAAGTGCTATATACATTTTAGCTGTTATTATTCTTATTATTATTTCCCTTCCTAAACCTTCCCATCTGATCGGCTGATTTGCTGTGCGGTGGGAGGGTGCAGGTGGATGCAGTAGCAAAGGGAATTATTTTTACCTGCCTCTGGAGTATCTTGCTGTGTGACCCTGGGCACGTGGCTCAGTGCCCTACGAAGCTCCCTAAGGCTCTAAGTTACAGATCTGCATTGGTAGAGGGGATCACCACCCTGAGAAGCCTCCAAACAGATGAAGTCCCAGGTCTAGAACAAGGACCCCCCCCCCACCCCTTTTCCCCAACCCCACAGTGGCCGCCTCCCCCATCCTGGCGCTTCGGGGGCTACCCGGGGCGGCTTCGGCTTGCATGGGGTACTTCTGTGCTATGCCACAGCTGCTCCTGCAGGAATCTTTCCCCAGAGGCGGCGGCAATGAGGGGCGACAGTCGCGTTCTCTGGAGTGAAGCCAAGAGGACAATCCGTCTTTCCCCTTGCTCAGCTCTTTGTGTTCTGTGCATTGCATAGGTTGCAAAACGAATCCGCAGCTCGAGAAGTCCTTGCAAGCATTCAGACCTACTTCGAATCTCAGCCCTTTGATTTTAGGGGTGCTGAAATCATTTCTGGGCAAGAGGAAGGGGTGTATGGATGGATTACAGCCAACTATTTAATGGGCAATTTCTTGGAGGTGTGTGCAAACAACCGCGTGGTTTCTTCATCTTGCTATTTACTGTCCCCTGGGGTGGCAAGCTTGAGTCTGGACCCATGCATGCTGACCTGGCATAGTCATTGTGTAGAATTCCCTTTGCATATGGAGTCAGGAAAATGTCCTTCAGGTGACTGCTCAGGAAAGACACTCCTGAAGGACAGCCTTCATTTTTCTCTTGTATCCTCCATGCCTAGCATGGTTCTTTGCATGCAGCAGATGTTTAGTAAATGCTTGCTGGATTGCATTGAAAAGACAATCACATAGGCTTACAGTGGAGGAGATAATTTGTTGCTAACATAAAACCAAACTGGGGCTGGGTGTGGGATGGAGAGACACTTTTTTGCCAACTTATAGAAAAAGAGCCCAGCTTTAAGTGCTAGGAATGTGAAAAAGCAACTCTCAGCTTCCCTACCCTTATCCTAAAAAGGATTAAGAATGAAACTGTATGCTTGGTTTTGTCCCGACTCCTTACTGGACACGTACAATTTAAACTTACTAGGGGCCTCCACTGAGGCTCCATATGGAGGTAGCAATGGGTAGTGGCAAGATCCCTAGGATGTGGGAGAACTGAGTTCAAATCCTGCTTCTGACACTTAGTATGGGCCCTTGGGCAAGATACTGCACCTCCCTGGGCCTCAGTTTCCTCCCCTGTAAATTGGGAGGGTTGCACTAGATGACCTCTGAGGTCTTTGCCACCTCTAATCTATAGTTCTGTCACTAGGTGATCCCTGAGGTCCCTTTGAACCCTAAGATTAGAGTCTTCTAAAACTGGGCTTCCCCACTACCTTATTCCTCTGAATATCTATAATGGTTACATGCCTGCTCTGTGCCAAGAAAAATCCTTCCCCAAAGACACGTTTCCTGATGTAGAGTCTGGCACCCGGCTGCTTCCCCGGGGCACAGAGTGTTGTGTGTAGGAGCTCACTGGGAGAGCCTCAGACAAACCAGCGTTAAATATTTCCTTTTCTTTTCTTATGATGTAGAAGAATGTATGGAACACGAGGAGCCCCCCTCATGGGGGGGAGACTACAGGGGCATTGGACCTCGGCGGGGCCTCTGCCCAGATATCATTCGTCCCCGAAGAGGAGGCTGGACACAGCGCCAACAGCACTGTGCAGGTGTCCCTCTACGGCTACACCTACACTCTCTACACCCACAGCTTCCAATGCTATGGCCGAGACGAAGCTGAGAAGCGCTTTCTTGCAAGGCTCTTCCAGGTAAATACAGCTGTGGTTGGGGCCTTGGGGGGTGGCATGACGGTATCCAAGATTTCCTCATGTATTTGTGTTTAGTCACAAATGAAGCCTTGATATATAAAACCATAGACACAAACCCCACATCTCTTGGGTTTAAATAATGATCAGGTGAGAGGGGGCTGTGGTAAAATGAACAGAGGGCCAACTCAGGTCAGGGAGGTCTGGGTTCTAATCTTGACTCAGACACCTATTAGCTGTGTGACCCTAGGGGAGTCATACAACCTGACCAGTATTGGCTAAGAAACTAATTGACCTCCAGGGAGAGGGTTTCTACCTGACACAGTAGGGCTTGATAAATATCATTTGAATGACCAGTAGTGCGTATGTGTGGAATCACTGAATCCCACAGCTGGACAGGACCATAGCATCCCTCTACATGCACCAGAACCTGTACAGAACTCCCTTCTATACCATCCCGCCAGTACCGTACATCCAGCCTTTGCCTGAGAGCCTGCGGTACGGGGAGGGGAAGCCCACTGCTTCCTCCTGTGTTGGGCAGATCCAACAGTGAAGGAGTTTTTTGGTTGTTGCTCTTCAGTTGGGACCAGCCCCTCATCGCCCCATGGACCAGAGCATGCCACATAAAGCTGAAATCTGCTCATCTTCCATTTCTAGCCATTACTGCTGGTTCTGACCTGGAGTCATCTAATCTCTCTTCCACTTGACAACCCTTCACCTCTAAGGCTTCTCTTCCCCAAACTAAAGAGCCCCCGTTCCTTCATCCAGTTCTTGTCTGGCAAAACGGAGGCTTTTTGTCCTCCTGGTTGCCCTCTTCTGGCTGGTCTGCCGCCTGTCACTATCCTCCCTAAAATGTGGAGCCCAGAACTAAGCACAATGCTCCAGATGTCGCTTGGCCAGGGCAGAGTGCTGGGGGCCCCTTGCCCCTCTAGTCCTCGATATGCTGCCTCTCAATACAGCCTAATGTCACATTAGCATTTTTGTGCTGGCTTAGTGAACTGTTGATGCATATTGATCTTGACATCTATTAACATCCCAGATTTTTTTTCAGATGAAAAGTTAGCCACATCTTCCCCATTCTTGTACTTGTGAAGCTGATTATCTGAATCAACTATAGACAGACAGACAGACAGACAGATAGAGGATAAATAGATAGATAGATAATAGAGCATTTATTAAGTATGTATTATATGACAGGCTTTCCAGTCACTGTGCTAAGTGCTGGGGATTCCAATACAAGCAAACAAGACAGTCTGTGTACTCAAGGAGCTTACAATCTAATAGGGGGAAAATACTCATGAAGCATAACTTGAGTCAGGTTGGGAGTGATGTAAACATGCTGGAGCCCCTCTAGAAATGGTGGTCCCAATAAGAGGGTCACCAATCATGAGATTGGCGCCTCAGGGCAAAGGTTTCTCCAGAATGGGAAGGTGGCTGGGGAGGGAGGAAGAGAGGGGGAGAGAGAAAGAGAAAGAAAGAGAAACAGAAACAGAGAGAAAGAAAGAGAAAGATGGAGAGAAACAGAAAGAGAAATAAAGAGAAACAGAACGAAAAAGAGAAACAGAAAGAGAAAGAGAGGAGAGAGAGAGATAGAAGAGAGAGAGATAGAAGGAGAGAGAGAAAGAGAGAGAGAGACACAGAGAGAGAGAGAGAGAGTTGAGCTAGGAGGGAAGTCAACACGGTGCAGAATTTTATATTGATTCCTACTAAGTCATTGAATTCAGTGTTCTTGCACACTGAGATCTTTTTGGACCCCAACTGTCATCTCGTGTTGACTGTTCCTCACAACTTTGTATCATCTCTGACTTGATAAGCCTCTTGTCTATACTTTGAGTGAATGTATCTAAAAAATGTGAAAGCATATAGGGTCAAATACAGACCCTGTGGCACTCCATTAGAGGCTTCCTTCCAAGTTGACATTGAGTCATCAATGACTACTCTTTTTGTCCAGTTAATCAATCAGATCGTCATCCAATTGTCTCTAGCCCCTAGCTCTCTATCATGTCTGAAAGGATTGCATGAGAGTTTTTGTCAAACACTTAGCTAAGATCCAGGTATATTGCTACCACATTCCCCGTCCAATTAGTCTGGCTACCTTGTCAGAAAAAGAAATGAGGTCAGTCTGGCATGACCTATTCTTAGGAAGCCAGGCTGACTTTTTGTGATCACTTTCATTTCTAGATTCCTATGACTCATCCCTTTAATGATCTGTTCTACAGTTCTGCTAGGAATCAAAGTCAAACTCACAGGCTTATAATTTATAGATTCCACTCTCTTTCCCTCTTTGAAAATCAGGATCTTTGCCTCTTTCCAGTCCTGTGGCGCCTCTCCCATTCTCCATGATCTTTGGAAGCTCACTAAGACTCACCCATCCTCTATGTCAGGTCAGTCAGTGAGGTGTGGTTCCTGGGCACTTCAACTCACCTAGGACAGTGATATATCCTCATTATTTCCTCACTTAGGCTGTTGGGTTCTACCTCCTATTAGCCATTTTCAGTCTGCCCTTTCTGGTCCAGAGATCAATCTTCTTGACAAAGAAAATGAGAGCAAAGTTGAGGCTTCCACCTTTCCTTTCTGTCATTTCTTATCTTTGGCTCATCCAACTTGGATGGAACCTCTGCTTTCTTTGATCTCCCTCTTTTCAGCAGTAAAGCTTTAAAACTGCTGTTCTTAGCTTTCCTTGCCAGCCTCAGCTTATTCTGAGCTGTAGTGCTTCTGATACTTGGTGCAGTTTGAAGCTTTAATACCTTTTAAAATACTCTGTATATCCCTCCCTTCTCCCTGCCCCTGGCAAGCCATTCCTTGGAACAGTGGGAAAGAAAGAAAGAAAGAAAGAAAGAAAGAAAGAAAGAAAGAAAGAAAAAGAGAGAGAGAAGCATTTGAGCAACACCAACCAACATATCAACCATGTCTAATAGTGTATGCTGTATTCCAAACCCACAGTCCCCCACTTCTGTAATGAAAGGAAAAAGGTTCATTTTCTCAATTCTTCTCTGGGACAAAACTTGGTCATTGTAATTAAACTGTGGAAAATACCAAATGGCCCATCCTTCCACTCCTCAACTAGACCACATGAAAACTCTCTTGGTGGAACACCACTATACTTTAAGAGTTACCTAGAATGAGAACTGGTCTCTAATAGGCTACATGTACAATCACATCATTTAATTTATATTTATTTTTTGGTGCAAACCTGTGATTTTAGTAGTGCAGGGATAGAAAGCCCTTTGGTGTAGCTAGGTGGTACAGTGGATAGAGCACTGGGCATGGAGTCTAGAAGACCTGAGTTCAAATCTGGACTCAGACACTTACTATGTGACCCTGGGCAAGTTACTTAATCCTGTTTGCCTGAGTTTCCTCATCTAGAGGATGAGATGGAGAAGGAAACGGCAAACCACTCCAGCATCTTTGCCAAGAAAACCCCAAATGGAGTCCCAAAGAGTCAGACACAACAAAAGGCCATTCACTTGTGCAGATTAGCAATTCCTAACTTTAGTCTTTCCAGAGTGGCCTGAGGACTAAGAGGTTAAGTGATGTGACAGTATGTAGCAGAGTCAGGATGTAAATTCAGGTCTTTCTGACTCTAAAACCAGCCTTCTATTTACTACACTATGGTTTCCTCTACATTTATTAAATAATAAAATCATCTTCAGTCCTGGAGTCAGGAGGTCCTGAGTTCAAACCTGACCTCAGACACATAACACCTACTAGCTGTGTGACCCTGGGCAAGTCACTTAACCCCATTGCCTAGCCAAAAACAAACAAACAAACAAAAATAAACAAATAATAAAATCATCTTGGTGAATACTTGTGTTTCGAGGTAGCTGAGGCTCACAGTGGATAGAACTCTGGACTTGGAGTCAGTGTTTAAATCTTGACTCAAGATAATTACTAGCTGTGTGACTCTGGGCAAATCACTTACCCTCTCAGCCTCAGTGTTTTCATCTGTAAAATGAGGATAATATAGCCCTTACCTCACTAGTGAGGATCAAATGAGATAATATTTGTAAATTGCTTTGCAAACATTAAAGCGCTATGTACATGGAGTTATTGTTGTTGTTGCTATTATTATTATTTTACAGCGACCTGAGGATTGCTTTAGGGTAATGTAGGTACAGTGTTTGGGAGAATTTTATACCATTTCCAGAATATAATTTTTAATCAGAGAATTATGACTTATACCTCATCATTTCAATCTATAGAATTCAACACACAAAGGCAAGCTGGTCAACCCCTGCTATCCTCGGGATTATGTAACCACTTTAACAATGGAACACATATTTGGAAGTCTGTGTACAGAAGAGTTAAGGCCAGCCAGCTACGACCCAGGATACAAAATTGCCCTGGAAGGGACTGGGGACCCCACTTTGTGCAGAGAAAAGGTCTATTCCCTGTTCGACTTTCAAGTTTGTCACGACCGGGAAGACTGTTCGTTTGATGGGGTCTATCAGCCAAAGGTTAAAGGGACGTTTGTGGTAAGATCGAAACCCACAGAAGATTTAATGTTTTAAAAAAAATATGTATTTGTCAACCCTTTGTCCTGCCCCCACCGATGCTCCGTCTACTCCTTCCCCCTCTTTTTTTGTCCAGTAATGTTGCTTTTGTGTGGCTGGATTTGCAGGCTTTTTCTGGATTCTACTATACCGCCAACGCTTTGAACCTCACGGGGAGCTCTCCTTTGGACGCCTTTAACTCAAGCACGTGGGATTTCTGTTTGCAGAGCTGGAGTCAGGTCAGTGGGGCTTCTGAGGTATGGAAGGCCTTGCAAGAATCTTGTTTGTACATCATTGTGTGCCTGCTGTCTTCCCCCGTAGACTGTGAGCTCCTTGAGAGCGGGGACTGGTTTTTGGTTTTGGTCTTTTGATCTTTCTTTGTACCCCCAGTGCTTGGCACAGTGCCTGCAGATAGCGGATGCCTAATCAATACGTGTTGACAGACGCACCTTGAGTTTGAAAGGTGGCGATCTGCTTGTATGGATGCAGTGATTATTTCTTTAGTGATTGCCTAAATCACCAAATATCAAATATCAGAAAGCCCAATTAAATTTGCTTTGCAATTATTTATACTTAGATAAATGAATTTCGATATATAGACTGTTCTGAGAACTTTTCTTTCTTTTTGGTCTGTGTGTTTTTTTTTTTTAAAGGCAATTGGGGTTAAGTGGCTCACCCAGAGTCACACAACTAGTGTTATGTGTCCGAGGTGGATTTGAACTCAGGTCCTCCTGACTCCAAGACCTGTGTTCTAACCATTGCACCACCTAGCTGCCTCTGTGAGAACTTTTCAATCAGGCCCTCTAGGTGTCCATCAGGATTCTTCCATTCTTTCTTGTGTACTTTTTCTCTTATATGGTCACAGTGAGTGTCTATTGTTCTTTTCTGTTGTTGGTGTTCGATAGAGCCATATACTTTCCTGCCATCTTTGTATACCAAGTGATTAATATGATATGTTATAAGTTTCCATGTTGGTGGCTTAGCCCCATCTATTGTTCTTTCAAAGTTGCTCTTTTTTTTGTTTGTTTTGTAGTATTTCATAAATGTTCTTCCATGTGTCTTTGTCTTTCTTATACTCATCCATTTTAATTGCATTATATATTACACGAATATAGTATAATTTATTTACTCTCCCATTATAGGGCGTTTAGGTTGCTTCTAATTTTTTGCTCACAGAGCACAGAATCTCAGAGTTGAAAGGGATGTTACAGACCTTCTTATCCAACCCAGAACTAAGCAAGAATCCATCCTCCAGCTTACCCAACCAAATAGTCATCTATCCCATGCTTGAAGACCTCCAGTGAGGAAGTCAGAAAATCGCTGAACTTTCAGGTTTTTGCTGGTGGTGGTTTTGATAATACTTTCAAAGTGTTTTCCCAACAACAGCATTATAGGATCTGAGGATGTAATTATTTTTAGAGCTTTTACTGTGTATTGCTACATTGCTTTCCAAAAAAGTTCCTACATGTTGCAATTCCACCAATAATGAATGAGTTTGTTTTTCCACAGCCTTTCCAGCATTGAGTTCTTGGCTTTTTGTTATTTTTGCTAATTTTTGATGAGTACTAGATGGAAAGTTGTTTCAGTTTGCGTCTCTTTGATTATTAGTGTTTGTGTATATTTTTTCAAGGGATTACTAACGTTCTTATGTCTTATTTGGAGAACTGCCTGTTTTATAGCTTAAACCTGTGTTTTGTCACCTTTATCCTGGGGATAAATCTAGGTGCCTTTTACTATCTCTATCCTTAGTCACCCGTGTTCTGGATGCATGCATCCAGAAAATGTGTGTGTGGCATGCCTGTGCCACATTTTTATGTTGTGTGTTTTTTTTAAATCTATTTTCCAGCTGCGTCTGGTGCCCAAGTTTGATGAGGTATATGCCCGGTCCTACTGCTTCTCCGCTCACTATATCTATCATCTGCTAATAAATGGCTATAAATTTACAAGACAGACTTGGCCTAACATACATTTTAAAAAAGAAGTAAGTGAAAAAAAAAAGCTACTGATTCTTCTCTCCTATTATTCTTCCCTCTCCAAGTAAATGCATTAACATGAAAGGCATTTAGAAACTGGCATGTTGGTGGATTTTACTTTCATGAAATTCAACATTTGTCAGACCTATCAGACTATGACATGGCGCTCCTGTGGACTGTAGAGGAAAGTAAAGAAATCAGAGTTGAGTATGTCCCTGACCACACTTTCAAATGGACTAGGGGTTGTTGCCTAAAACTAGTAAGGGAGTTAAGGAACTAAGTCTTTGAGCAATTTAGTAATGTTAGTCATGAACAGGTAGGTATTAGATTTAGAGCTGGAAGAGCCTTTGGAAGTACCACCCCCTTTCATTTCATAGATATAAGGAAACGGAGTCCCCGAGAGAAATGACCTTAGGGTCACATGGCTACTAGCCACAGTAGTTAAGCTGGAATGCGACCCCAGGTCCTCTGAGTCTCAATTCAGTGTGCCTACTGTCCTCTACACATCCCCCCTGCCTTTAAAGAGGATAGTGACCAGCTCTTCTGCCTTCTTTATCATAGGCTAAAATGATAGCATGAGGGACTTAGGCTAGCTCTGAACAAGAGCTTCCTGACCATGAACAGTCACGAAGTTACCGAAAAAGGCTGAGAAGTCTCCTTTTAGGAGACTTTCAACATACATAATAGATATAGCTATTCATATTGATATAGATATTTGTGTCTAATGGTAGCCATCTCTCGGGCAGCAGGGTGTGGAGAGAATAAAGAAAAAAAAGAAATTTACGTGATAATTTTATTGTATATTTGAAAGAATTAGCAAGTTGTGCATAGCAGATTTGCAGTTTCATATACAATCATCTTTTTTATTGTACTATGTTATGAAGATGCTTGTTTTATTGTATAATTAAAAATTTCTAAAAAGGAAGCCTATTCAATCATTATTGAAAGTAGGTTCTGGGGTAGCTAGGTGACGCAGTGGATAGAGCACCGGCCCTGAAGTCAGGAGGACCAGAGTTCAAATCCGGCCTCACAGCAAACACTCGACACTAGCTGTGTGACCCTGGGCAAGTCACTTAACCCCAGTTGTCTGGGAAAAAAAAGGCAAAAAAAAAGTAGGTTCTTTCAGTGAGAGCCAAAAAGATTTTTGTACCTTTAATAAATAAAATAGCAAAACCATTAAAAAAAAAAAAAAGACTTTCGCTAAAGAATCGACGCTTGTGTTCTGGAATGCTCCTGCCTGATCTGGAAGAGTGGATGGCCATTCATGCTAGGAGGCTCCAATCTTGGCTCAGGTTTCATCCTGTCAATTTCTTCAGTTAGCGCCATGTTTCCTAGGAGAAGAGATTTCTGTTTTAGGAATATGAGAAGCCCAGATGAGGGGATGAGAGGGCTCTTCCCTGGCTGCCTTCTTTTCCTAAAGAATCTAATAAAATTATGTAGTTATGACTTCTATCTGGCTTGCATGGGTGATCTCATTCTGGATGATAGAAATAGATGTGGAATTGACTTAATAAGAATAATGACCTGCATAATTGGCATCTTATCCCCTGCCAACAACAGTAAGAGTTTAAGACGACAGAAGCATTTTCATCTTCCATGGGATCAGGCTGGTAACTATTGCAGTGCACTGGAAGAAAGGCAGAATGGATTTTGTTAGGGAATTGTAGAAACAGATTTCATCTGAGGAGACTATACAGGGTGTTATTAATTTTATGTTGTATCTAAAGTTGGTGAATTTCTTTCTGCTTCCATCCTTCTTTCCTTCCTTCTTCTTTCTCTTTCTCCCTTTCTATCTTTCTCCTACTTTTCTCCTTTCTCTTTATTTCTTTTTTCCCTCCCTTTCTTTCTCTCTTTTCATTCATTTTCTTCTCTCCCTACTTCCTTCTTTCTTTCGTCTTTTTTCTTTCTCCTTCCCTCTTTCTTTCTCTTTCTTTGCTTTTTTCTTTCTCCTTTTCATTCATTCTCTTCTCCTTCCTTCATTTTTTCTTCTTTCTTTCTTTCTTTCCTTTCTCTTTCATTTTCTTTACTTCTCTTTCTTTTTTCTCTTTCTCTCTCCTTCCTTTTTTCTTTTTTCTCTTTGTCCTTCCATCTATTTCTTTTTCCTTTCTCTCACTTTCTCTTTCTTTACTTCTCTTTCTTTTTCTCTTTCTCTCTCCTTTTCATTCATTCTCTTTTCTCTCCCTCCTTCTCCTCTTCCCTTTCCCCACTTTTCTCTTTCAGAGAAAAAGGCAGAGAGAGTCATTCCTATCTCAGAAAGGCCCATAAACTAGTCTGTTTGTTGAATTATGCCAGACATTAGGGGAGTAAGAGAAGTGGGGAGTAAGGGAAAGAAGGGTGAAGGAGTAGTAAGGAAGAGAATCCAAGATTAGCCACTGTAATGACAAAGATTAAAGGTTCTAGAGCTGGAAGGAATCTCAAAGCCCATCTAGTTCAACACACCCCCATTTGCCAGAAAAGCAAACTGAGTCTCAGAGAGGTGAAGGTCACACAGCAAGTGTCAGATCCAGGATCCAGTCCTCCAATGCCAAATCTTTTCTCTATTCCACAACCCCTGCACTATCCCCAGTCTTTCTCCCTCCATCTTTTCCATTCTCCAGCCCTGTAGAAATCGCATTGAGTTTCCTGTAGTTTTCTCTATAAAGTATTTACACCTTCAAACCCAGCTTGGACAGATGATGTCTCCCGTCATGGGCACTGGCTCCTCCATAAGCTGTGGTGCCCAAATGATTGGCGTGACACGTACATGCATGTCACAGGATCCCAGAGTAGCACTGCAGAGAGAGGTTAAATGACTTGCCCAAGGTCACACAACTAATAAGTGTCTGAGGCTAGATTTGATTTGGATTCAGCCTCTAAGGTCCCCTCCAGCTCTAAATCTATGAAAGAAAGTAATGGGGTTGGGGAGAAGGCTTGGTGGTAGAGCTCTATCCTGGGAGGTGGGTATAGCAGATGCTATTATTATTATTAATTACCAATTTAAAAATGAGAATAAAAAGGCCTAGAAAGGTGAAGTGACTTGCTAGGAAGAGAATAAGTATTTATTAAGTGCCTAGTCTGTGCCAGGCACTGTGCTAAGTGCTTTATAAATATGATCAAATTTGAGATATTTGAGATTTCAGAGGTAGGATTTGAACTCAAATCTCTCCTAACCATCTCTGTGCCTCTACACAGCACAGTCATGTCCCAGGCATATTATTTGCACTTCTGGCCTCTCCACCTCTCCACCGCCTACATGTGAACCCTCCCCTTTGCCCCCCACAGGTGGAGAATAGCAGCATTGCCTGGTCTCTGGGCTACATGCTGAACCTCACCAACATGATTCCGGCCGAGAGCCCCCTCACCCAGCTGCCCATGAAGCCGCCGGTGTTCACGGGGATGATGGTCTTCTTTGCCGGGGTGGCCCTGCTCTGCCTGGTTTTCCTCATCTACCTGTGCATGGTGTCCAAGCCGTAGATGAGCTCCCAGCGTGTCATGGATCCTGGCTTCGATGCTGAGTGAGCCAGGGAGGAAAGCATTCAAGAGCAGGCAAGGCAAAGCTCAGCATGGAAAAACGAAGCAGGCAGCGGGGTCCAAGGAGGGTCCCCTCCCAGAGGGCTCTGAGCTGCGACCTTTTCTACCCGCCTGCAGTGATGGTGGCAACCCACTCCTCCAACGACCCACTGAGAAGAGGAGCAAGCAGAGTTGGACGGCGGTCAGAAAACCTGGATGGCAATGGATCTTGGTTCCACGGCTTAGAACCTGTATGACCTTGGGAAAGTCCTCTTCCCCAATCTGGTCTCAGTTACCTCACCTTGAAAATATGAGGATTAGACTAGATGACCTTGAAGGTCCCTTTGAGCTCCAAACAGACAATCCTATGATTCTGCGAACATTCACGGTCAGACCTCGCGGAAGTCCCCTGGGATGAAGGGCCGCTAGCTTTAAAATAAACACGAGCGTAGAAACCATACCCCAGGGATCATCTTCCATCTTGCCTCCCCAAGAAACATACTCTATGACTAATGAATTTGAAAGAAAGCAGCATCCTTGCTGGCAGGACTGTGGAAGAGTGTACCAGGGGTAGAGCGGTATTCTCAGAAAGCATAGCGCGCCTGGCACGTAGGAGGCACTTAATAAATGCTTGCTAAATTGGATTGTTCTTTGTTGAAAACACGGCACTTTGCAATGTTCGTTAGGACCTGTAAGACCTCTGATCAGTCAAGCTGCTCCTTTGATGTCCTTCTAATTACCAGCTCTCAATGGGCGCCTTCCTTTGATCGAATACCCCATGACCGGGGAGGGCTTCCTGGCAAAACTTTGGGCCTGACGTCTGCTCTGCTGGTCCCCAGGATGTCACTCTGCTTATTGTCGCCTCAGTTATCACTGCTTCAGTGGGACTCTGAAGGGGAAGCCTGCCCATGACCCCTGCCCTAGCCATATAAAACAGAGGCTTACGCCTTCGCAGTGAGTTGTACAGTAAGTAGCCAGCTGTTGTAGAAATGGTATCACCCTGTGCAGCACTCTTCTGCCCACTTAGAATACCCCATGCCCTGATTCCAGTCTCCTCACTAGTATCGGAATACACCCCCTCCTCCATTCCATCTCTCCCTCCAGTAGTTTTTACACCTGACACGTTAATGTGGCATAGAATCATCGGATACCCAACCATTCCTGGAGTTGGCCTTTTGCGTTGGGCTGTTTTCCAATTAATAGTTGTTTTTTGGTGGGTTTTTTTTTTATTTTGTCTAGGCAATGGGGTTAAGTGACTTGCCCAGGGTCACACAGCTAGTAAGTATTATGGGTCTGAGGTCGGATTTGAACTCAGGTCCTCCTGAATCCAGGGCCGCTGCTCTATCCACTGTGCCACCTAACTGCCCTTCAATAAATAGTTGGAAATGTAGATAGAATGTAGATTTAGAGCCAGAAGGCATTTGACAGTCGTCCAGTATAGCCTGCCCTGGTAGAATAGAAGCACCTTGAGGGCTGGGATGGGTTTTTAAGAAAATCTTCTTTATATCCCCAGTGCCTATCAAATATTAGGTGCTTAATAAATGCTTTTTGGATTTGAATGAATTGGATTTTTCACCATTCCCATAGGCAGGCTCGATGCCTTTAAAAATAGAAGCTGAATGAAAACCCTTATTTCATAGCTCAATCATCAATTTCTTTCCCAAGTCTATGGGCCATGGCCCTAGACTTTGGAATGTGTAGACCTCTTAGTCCAGAGGTGTGGGAAACTGCCATAATGTTTGAATGCAGGGCAAAGTGGAGAGATTCCAAAACAGGACTGTTTCTTACTAAATTACTAATAGTTTCAAAAATTAAGTGATTTAAAACTGTTTAATATAGTATTCAATGTATGAAATAAAGGATGATAATTTTTCCCTAGTTGGAAATGTATACATTTGTTAACATGTATAATTTTTTCCTGACGTTTCCAAGATGTTATTTGAGAAATTTTAAAAGTAATTTTTATAAAACTTAAAGAATTTATAGATGAAAAAAAAAAACAGATCTGCTAAACAGGCGACGTGGCACCCCCCCCTTCCCATCATACCTAAACCATCTGATTGGTAGCTGACACCATCTAAATGGTATATTCACAGCGATAGCACAGTGCCATGCACATAAGAGGTGCTTAATAAATAGTTACTGATTGATTGATAATGGATTGCAAAATCCAACTCCCCTATACCCCCATATTGTGGCCATAATCCCCTGCTGCTCCAGGGGCACAGTTTCCTTCTCTCACCCAGAGAGGCGCTGCTTAGGAAATCTCCTCGATGAAATTTAAGCACCCCTATGTTTCTCTCGGTCTGTGTGCTTTGCACTGAGAGCCTTGAGGTCTGGGATGGCTCAGTTGACCCAAGAGAAGCTCCTGGTCTCCTACTAAAGATCTTCCACGTTCTGGCTGCTGCTAACCTTCCAGGTCTGCAAAGCACCTTCCAGTAGTAACAGCTTCTGCTCCTCAGCAGCCTATTGAGGGAGGTGCTATGATTATTATCTTCATTTTATAGATGAAGAAACTGAGGCTCGGATGGTAAGTGACCACAGAGAGTCCAAGATAAAGGCAAAGAGGATGTCGAAGTGACTGGAGTCCGTATAAAGAAAGGCTGAAGGAGCTTCGGATGTTTAGAGGAGAGAAGCTGGGGAGTGGAGGGAGGGAGAGCTAGGCTGCGCGTCCTTTGAAACTCCAACAATCAGAGTGATTCACAAATGGAAGGGGCTCTCTTGGCAAACAGCTGGTTCTAGCACCTTAGCATAGTGACCGGTATGCACTAAGCGTTTAATAAATGCGTGCTGCTTTGACTTCCTCGGATGTCTTCAAGCAGAGGCCAGATGACTACTCATTAGGAATGTGGCACAGATCATTAAATCTGCGGCAAGGGACTATCTATATGAAAGGATTGCGAGGTCCCACCTAACTAAAATTCTGTTCTTTACCCTGAGTCACAAAGCTAATAAGTGCCAGAGTCAAGATTCAAACCCGGGGCCATCTGACTTTCTTTTCACAACCCCGTCCAGAGCAGGGGAGCCCTCTGAAAAGGCTGCTTCATAAACAGTGTCCTCACTTCAGAGCGATCTACAGAGAGAGATCTCGGGGGCCTGGGATCAAAAGGAGGTATGCATGAATAATAATAACTGCGGGCATTTATGGAGCACTTCAAGGTTTGCAAAATGTTTCATAGGCTTTATCTTATTTTAATTATATTTACATAGATTTAGGAATCATCTGCCAGTAATCACATAATTATTATTATTGAGTTGTTTCAGTCATGTCTGACTCTCTGTGACCTCATTTGAGATTTTCTTGGTAAAGATACTGGAGTGGTTGGACATTTCCTCCTCTAGCTCATTTTACAGATGAGGAAACTGAGGCAAATAGGGTGAAGTGACTTGCCCAGGGTCACACAGCTAGTAAGTGTCTGAGGCCAGATTTGAGCTCAGATGAGTCTTCCTGACTCCAGCCCTAGCGCTTTGTGCACTATGGCGCCACCTAACGTCTCATCTCATAATGACCAGCATTTATAGAAAGGTTTGCAAAGTATTTTACGTATATTATCTAATATAATCCTCACAACAACCCTAGGAAGTAGGTACTAAATATTATCTCCATTTTACAGATGAGGAAACTGAGGCCCAGAGAAATTGAGTGACTTGCCCACAGTCCCATAGCTAAGTGAGCGTCTGAGGTGGGATTTGAACTCAGAGCATCCTGTCAAGGCTAGAACCAACCAGACTGAGACAGCAGATTACCTGGGCAAGTCTCACGGACCTGGAAGGAGCCAGCTGGGGACGCCCTCAGAGGCCTGGGATGTGACTCAAAACCCATCTGACCCTCAAGGGGGAAGAGAAGCAGGGTCCTTTCCCCCTCCCCCCAGCTGTGTGCCTTGGGGCAGGTCACGTCATCTCTGCAGGTCTCACTTTCCTGCTCTGTAAAGTGAGGGCACCCGAGATCCCCGCCAGTTCTAAAGCTACGGCAGGCGGGTGCCGCAGGGAGGGCCGGGCTCTAGCCAAGCAAAGCATAGGCAGCAGCATTGGAGCATCCTCTGAGGGGAGTGGCCACACACCCGCGTGCTCCTCCTCAAGGACAGATCGCCCAGCCCGAGGCATGCACCTGTACCACCAGAAGGAGGGAGGGGATGGCAACAACCGCAATACCAATGATAACTAGCATTTATAGAGCATCTACTAGGTGCCCAACGCCGTGCTAAGTGCTTTACCAATATCTTAATTGATTCTCAAAACAATGCCGAGAGGTAACAGCGATTATTATTCCCATTTTACCACTGAGGAAACTGAGGCAAAAAGAGTTTAGGTGACTTAACCCAGGTTCGCACAGCTAGTAAGTGTCTGAGGCTGGATTTGAACTCAGGTCTTCCTGACTCCAGGTTTAGCTTTCTATGCACTGGGGCTCCCTCCAGCTGCCTCCAGTAGGAGGTATGGGAGGATTGGGAAAGGGCTGAAACCAGGCAGATGTCGCAGCAATAGGAGGGGATTGACTGAACTTGAAATGAGTAAAATTCAGTAAGTGCATTTCATGGCACGGGCTCCCTCTGCCGGTAGAGTGGACAGAGAGAACTGGGGCTCCGTGTCTGGGAAGGAATGAGGCGATTCTCCTCTCTGATCAATCAATCAATCATCAGTATCTATTAATTACCTAGTACTAAAAACCTCACACAAAAGTGAACAGGTCTCTGCCCTCGGGGAGCTTACGTTCTGATGACAGAGACAAACACTGTGTTCACATAGGAGGAGAGATAAAATATATCTGAAAATGAATACCAAATAGTTTGGGAGACCAGGCAGGGAAGCTTTCCTGTGTCAACCCAGCCTGAAGTACCATTCATAGGCTCATAGATGTCCAAACCTGTGAGTTCAGCGTTATTACTGGCCGAATTTTACAGGGGAGGAAGCTAAGGCCCAGGGGCTGGCCCAAGGTCACACTCATAGTCAATGGCAGAGCTGGATTCCTAATCCAGCCAGGGCCCTTCCACTGTACAACAGTCTCGCTCCTTCTTACCCCCAAATTAGGAGGGAGTAGAGACCTTGGATGGGAGGGACTGCTTAAACTCTGGAGTCTAGGTCAGGCGTTCTTAACCTTTTGTGGGTCCTGGACCCCTTTGATTATCTGGGGAAGCCTATGGGCCCCTTCTCAGAATCATGTTTTTAAATGCACAAAATACCTAGGTTACCAAGGAAACCAAATTTATTGCAATAGTTATCTATCTACACCCACAGATATATATGAGGTAGGTAACATTTTATTTATATATATTATATATATACACATATATACATATACAAAGATATAAAACATATACATAACCTACACGCATACATTTGTGTGTATATCTATATGCACACATATATACGTGTGTATATGTCTGTGTGTGTACACTTGTATATATTGTTCACAGACCCCAGTGTCATAACCACTGACCTGGATCCTGGGGTGGGACAAAGTCCAAAGTTTCTTGGTCTAAGCTTCCTCTTCTGGGAATAGCTAAAGTTTTGTCATTTTTCATCTGTAATCTGGGTCTATCCCTTCTCTGTTCTGAATTACTATTTACTTCCAGGCCCTAGGTGATGATAGTCTGAGGCCAGAGAGAGGTAGAGGACATTCGATGACCGCCATACTCTTTGTGGACTGCAGGGGAGGGAGCTGTGGATGAGTGGATGCTTGAGGAGAGAATTCAGAGGTCCAGCTGCCCTGGTAGTACACACACTCTGGAAGCAGAAACTGTGAAATAAAAGGGGGACAAGATCTGGACCCGTGCAATGAGGCTTTTCTCCCCTTCCTTTAGGAAGGCCTTTGGGTACTGGGGGCACAGAGCTGCTCTAGTGGGAATGAGGATCCCAGCCACCATGCAGGTAAGAGGGGTTGGATGCTTGGGTGTCCATATGCCATGACTCATGTCTCTGTCCATGGTGACCAGGACGGGCATCAGAAGAGATGAAGACAGATCATGGGCAGGAACCGCAGCTTGGCCTCACCTCTCCAGTGCCCTGGACTAGTGCTGAAACCAAGACCATGGCGGGGATAAGACCAGAAGAGGAAGTAGGAACTGGGGAGTGAGGAGGCTCCCATGTGCCAGAGATTGCCTATGCTGATGAAACCCAGCAGAGCAGACCTTTCTTTGCTTCATTCAGTGATGATGCATGGGACCTTCTCCCCATGGAAGCCATGGGGCCTGAAGAAGACCGAGGCATCCA